CCCTGGGGGAGAAATCCAAGGCCAAAAAGAGGAAGGGCAAAAGGGAGGGGTGAGGAGGAGGAGGAGGAGGAATGGAAAAAGGGGAGGATGGGGGAGTGGAGAATGGGGGGTAATTAGGTTCGGTCTGAGGAAGAAGACCGACAGGGCTAATTCCTCAGACCAAGAGCCTCTTCACCACGCCAAGGAGCCCCCCTTGAAGAGGACAATTCCCACATGAATGGCTTATAATTGTAAAATTTGACCTTAATTTTTCAAGTAAAAAAAAATATATATATATTTTTAAGCAGTTATTGGAAACTAAAAAACTTAAAAATAAAAAAAAAATCCCAGATTGTCGTTTCGATATATTTATTTTCATTTGATGTTCATAGAAAAAGAGATACATTGCACGTGGCTATTAACAATGATTTTTATCTACAAATCTTTATTACAGGAGCACAAAGCTCTCTATATAACATGTAACATGAATCAGATTAACCAGTTTAATGGAAGCTAAAAGATAAAAGGTATTGCTTTCTTATGATCTTTCTCAGTAACAAAATATCACAAGGCACTCTAAAAGCTGCACAAAATTTACGACTGTTTTAACTGCCATTTACTTCCACCAACCAAATTATGTTTTCAGGTGTGTGAAGAAAACAATTATACTGTTGTCACACTTTTTTTTTTCACAGCAGTCATTTCCCACTGAGGTAAAGTGACCTGAAAAAGAAACTTACCATCATTCAGTCCACAACTGTCTTGCCAGAGGTGTGCAGATACTACAGTTCAGATGCCCCTCCAAACTGCAAACATCTCCACCACTCCTTCCGAGTGCAGGCACTGTACATCCCACATTCAGGAGTCAAGTCTGGCTAACTGGTTTCCCTGAATCCCTTCACAAAATGTTACCTTGTTCACATTCCAACAGCAGAGCAAGTCCTCCCCAAAAATTTGTTTCCATTCATTCCTAACACGCTCACACATGCTTGCTGGATGTCCAAGCCCCTTGCACACGAAACTTCTTTACCTCCTCCCTCCAAGCTTTCCAAAGGCAACCCCTACTTCCACCTTTCCTCCACTTCAGATTTAGATACCCTTCAAGTCATCCTATTTAGCTCCATCACCTCTATGTCCAAACCACCTCAACAACCCTCTGGATAATACTTTTAGTAACCCTGCACCTCCTCCTAATCTCCAAACTCAAATTCTCTGCATAATATTTACACCACACACTGCCCTCACGCATATCTCCAGTGCTTCCAGCCTTCTTCCCTCTGCAACATTCACAACCCATCCTTCACACCCATACAAGTTTTGGTACCACTATACTCTCATACATTCCCCTTTTTGCCTTCACAGATAGCATTCTATCTAAACAGATGCCTCATTGCACCACCCACCTTTTTTTTTTTTTTCAACAAGTCGGCCATCTCCCACCAGAGGCAGGTGACCCCAAAAAAAGAAAGAAAATCCCAAAAAGAAAATACTTTCATCATCATTCAACACTTTCACCACACTCCCACATTATCACTGTTTTTGCAGAGGTGCTCAGAACACAACAGTTTAGAAGCATATACGTATAAAGATACACAACATATCCCTCCCAAATGCCAATATCCCAAACCCCTCCTTTAAAGTGCAGGCATTGTACTTCCCATTTCCAGGACTCAAGTCCGACTATATGAAAATAACCGGTTTCCCTGAATCCCTTCACTAAATATTACCCTGCTCACACTCCAACAGATCGTCAGGTCCCAAGTACCATTCGTCTCCATTCACTCCTATCTAACACGCTCACGCACCCTCATTAATTCTATGGTTCACCACACTTTCCATATTATTATAATCAAAAAGAAGCGCTAAACCACAAGGGCTACACTTTTCATAAACCCAACTGCTGATAAATCCATTCTTAAATATCTAAACACATTTCCTCCATACTCCCTCCTTCCCATCTGATATCCAATTTTTTCATTACCTAAATCGTTTGTTACCCTCATTACCTTATTTTTTCCCACACTCCGAGGGATGGGTGGGGATACATGCAGTCTGGAGGGGCAACTCAGCTGTAGAATCAATGTGCCTCTTTCAAGTGATTGAGTAAATGACAGTGAAGTGTTTCTTCTTTTTTTTTGGGTCACCCTACCTTGGTCGGAGACTCCTGGCTGGTGGGGAAAAAATATATATATAGATACTGTACATATTTTACATGTGGAGAGTGTTTTTTTTTTTATTTAAAAAAAAAAGTGGTGGTTGCAAGCAGTGGAAATGTAATGGTTGAGATCAATGCTTAGTGTGATTATGCAGAAATTAATCAAGTGAGAAATTTGAAAGACAATGTGATGCAAAAGGTATAATTCCAAGATTAGGTAAAATATTGATATGGTCTGGACGAGTAGAAAGGGTGAAGCAAGATGGGGTCGTTGAGAGGTGTGTAAACTCAGGGTGGACAGTTTAGTGCAAGAAAAGGTTGGATTATATCCATGGGAAGCACAAAACCCAGGTAAGGGTTGAAATGAAGATGTGAAGATTTAAAGAGGTAAGGACTTGAGGATCTAGCATTGGTGGCATAAATTTTTGGAATTTGTAGTGCTATTGGAGCACAAGCACATTAATACCTATGAAGAATTAAAAAAGAAAAAATATTAGCAAGATGGATTTGAATTTTGAAGGTGGGAAGAACCATGTCTTAATGTTTGGTGGGGATGCTGTGGTTTGTCATCACTTGATCATGTCCCTGTAACCTTCTTGGAAGTAAATAGAATGCATATTTTGTGTACACAGTATATACAGATACAGATATATACATAGTGTATAATATATAACACATACATTTTAGGGAAGGCTTACAATCTTTGCATAAAAACAACAATCATTTTATCAAGCAATGTAAATTCACTGCAGTAGTAATGTCCAGAAAATCAATTTCAAAACTGACATATTTTATTGGTTCTAAATAATAACTAAATTTAAGCTTACCTAAGATGTTCACAAAATCATGTCTAATAGAGAAATCAGAAGTTTGTTTTTGAAAGAGATCCACCTATGTGGTAAACTAAGCTTGCCTGTCTGACTCTTGCCTAAAGTATGAAATACTGTACACACAATCATATACAAGTTTAATATACACTGGTTACTGGCAAAAACCCACATTGTGATGATAAAATATCAAATAACAGGAGTACTGTACAGGTTACCATCACACTGAGGCCCTTTGCAGCAAACTAACATGTGTGCATGAGATGAAGCTTATATACAAAGGCAGGTCACATGAAATGAAGCTAGTATACAAAGTCAGGTTGCATGAAACCAAATTCTGGAACAAAAAAATGCATGACTTCAGGGGAGTGATATCAGGTTTCAACTGGTTTTGAGAGTGGCTGAAAAACACGTTGTGATGCTATCATAACTCGCGGATTTTGCGTTTATACCCTATATACAATTTGTTGAAGAAATATATATGTAATGGAAGCAGCTACCCAGTTATTATGGTCATGATTCTTAACATGCTCAAGTTTGCTATAGAGGGCCTCGGTACAAACTTAAAATACACAGCACTCGTATGTTTTTCCCCATGTAGGTTCATTTGTGCATATACGTATTATAAATTTTTATACAGTAGCACATTTTGATTGAATACAGTGAAATATGACCCAAGGTCATATTCTCTTCAATAATCCAAATCCTTCAGGTCTAATGACAAAGTTAAAACATTCAGTATTACTAAAGTGAATTCATGAATACAATTTATCATCAATTATTAATTTGTAAATTTCTTACACAAGGAATCCTCATTATGCTGCACCTTGCTCTTAATACCTCATTAACAATTAGCTATGAAGCACTGAATTTGTACTCGATTTTTTTTGTAACATTGATGAGCATTCCGTACCAGCAAATTACAGTCATGCGCCGCATAATGATGTTTCAGTCAACAGTGGACTGTATATTCGACAGTGGTCCCAGATTATAATGTAGCTGAAAAATTCTTATTGTGGTACATAATACTGATAACGATAATAAACAATTGCATACATTACTGTCTTATGTATTTACTGTACTTATGTATATACTGTACTTGTCAGCATTATTCTAGTGTACTCTTTCTACTTATTAAAAAAAAAAAAGTTTACTGTAAAACAGTATACCACGTTATGTCGGCAGCAGCCTCATACATCTCGTGTTTACCACATCTCTTAACAGCATCATTTTTCCTTGTGCTTGATTTAATCTTGTGTTTTGTTCATCATGGCCCATAAGTGTACAAAATTCACAGTGAAGGGTTTAACAGAAGCTTTTGCAGACTCAACAAGCTCCTTGAACAGTTTGAAAATGTTCACACAATGATGAAATTGCCTAATGACACATTTCTCAGAACATATCCCCGTTGTTAAGAGAAGCATGACTGTATGTCACTATTTTGAGAAACTAATTATTCATCCATGGGTTGTGAGTTGAACAATGCAGATAGGTGCCCAATATCCACTCTCAAATTAATTTCCTAAAAGAAAATTCTGTCAAATAATGCGTTAAATTACTTTTAGAACTTCCATTCACTATTGTTTTATATAAAGGTGAAAGTATTGCACATTACAATTTAAGTATCTAATAAATCTTCAGCACCGGAACAATATTTGCACCTCCCCTACATTACTTAGTAAGTAGAGCAAATGGCTTAATTTGGAAAGAGGTAATTCCAAATATTCAACTAATAAATGCTTTGCAACAAATATTTAATTATGAACAATTAGAAATTTATATTAATATTTAAGACAACAACTTCTAGCAACCCTTATTAGGCTAAATAAAAAAAAAAAAAAAAAAAAAGGCTACCCACAACATAAATTTATGGGTTTGATGACAACATGGTCGTATAAAAGAATGAAAACATTTCTGAGCATCATTAATGTATTGCAAGGTACTGAACAGCTAATATGGACCTAACCAAACAGCTGTCCAGTCTCTTGCATATACTAGCTCAAGCTGTACAGTGGAATGTCAACTATTTCTATTAAATCAACCAAACCAAGTTTATAGTATTTTTATATTACAATAACTGCAGCTATTTATGTATACAAAACTAGAGGCTTCATAAAAAATAAAGACTTAATTCTATATGAACTACAACATTTGACTACGCTTGACACAGAACACGAGCTGTCCATGTTGCTGTGATTTGATCACAGCCTGCCCCCACTTACTGAGGAACTTTTATGAGGCATTGGTACATTGAGTGAAGAGGTAATGGTTTCAAAGGTAGTGTAATTATCCAATCAATTGTGCTACCTCAGCCCATTTTTTGACTTCAAACACACAAACAAAAAAAAAAAAAATTTTGAGCTCTGTGTACAAATTTAATTTTATATTCATTTTCACCTACTTGCTATTTCTTCTTCCTCTTCACTTTTGACGTCAACTTCATTTGCCTTTAAACTCTCGTCCTCTTCACTTTTGACATCACTTTCTTCACTCTTTCGCTCTTCACATTTATTTACACTTTTTGATTCACCTTCACTTTCCTCGCTTTTTGCATCACTCTCTTCACTCTTTGCTTCATTTCCCTCATTTTTGTCAGTACTATGTACATTTTCAGCTAAACTTTTTTCCCTCAATGCTTTTGCCTGGCCCTTTTCCAACTCTGCACGCACACGCTCAATTTCTTCCGGGGTGATCTGTACATAGAGAATACCATTAATGATATTGAGAAGTTCTAATACACTACTCATAGACGGTGGCTGAATCTGAATTGGTGGAAGGCCAAGGGTACTGCGGCCGTTGAATGCTTCACTGATCTTTTTCGCCATAACAACTGCCTGCTGGGTCAAATGACGTAAGCATTCGTCGGCTTCTTTCGTCTTCTCATGCTCTGGTCCAAGTTGAGTCTTGTATATTGTGAAAGTTTCCTTTTCATTTTTGAGAGCACCTCTGAAATCTCCCATGCAACTTTGCGTCCTAGCAACAAGGTGGTAACTAAGAGCAACTTTTAAACTTTTATCACCAAAGAATTTTATACGGAGTTCTAAGGCCTTTTCCAAAAACTGGAGAGAAAGGCTATACTGACCTACAGCATGGAGGATCAAACCAATGTTAGAATCTATCAAGGCCATTTCTGGGTGAACCTCACCATGGATTACCAAGAGCAAGTAACGAGCCCGGTACAACAGTTTTAAAGCCACACTCACCTGTTGGTTGGCAAAGCAGTAGAGTGCTAAGTGAGTGTACTCTGTGATAGTGTATGGATGATCAATACCATTTACCCTCTCACTCATGAGTACTGCCTTTTGTTGGAATGACATAGCTTCAACATGATCGCCCATGATATAATTCAAGCGAGCCAGCATGCGAAGGCACTGTGCTATTTCTGGATGCATGGCGCCATAAACATTATTTAAAAGATTCAAAGCCTCACTAATAAGGTCATAACCATCTTTTAAGAACCCTTGCTGTGTCTTGGTCTGGCCAGCAGTGTACAAGTTAAAGGCGTCAGTAGCCCGTGGATTGATATGCTTTACAACTGGAAACAAGTTAAGAATGTCTTGCTCATGGAAAGTTTCCTGAGACTTGGTGTCAAAGCTGTAATCACGGAGAAGTAGCTGGACACCTGATTTCATACAAAAGGTTCTCAGAAGTGCTACTTTCTGAAGGCCATACTTTTGAATGGCGCTATCTACTGTGTCTGTTTCCAAAGTCCAGTCATAGTAATCTTTGAGTTCTAATTTAATACGATTCCAAAGAGATTTGGGAGAAAATGCTGCCCAATGTGAGAGGCTGTTGTTAAATGGGTGTCTCCTCTTTTTCTTCTTTGAGAGAAGCTCATCATTTTTGTTAGAAGCATGTGGACTGGTGCAAGAAGAGAGGTAACAGTTGAGAAAGTGGGCAACAGCAGATGATAAAGAAATAGTTTCAACACGCTGAAGGTAACTTGTGAAGAGATGCTTGACAGATCGTGCAATTAGTTCCCCTACTGCAATGGTATAAATATATTTCAACTCATGGACTTTAGCCAAGAGACTGGCAACTTTTCCCAAGTAACGGATGTTAACTCCCCGTGTATGTAGAGCCTCACATAGAGTAGTGCCATCAGTAGGAGCAACAGCATGGTCTGTGAGATCATGCACCAGACTGGGCAATTGAACACTCGCTAAAAACCCTGCTGCATCACAAATCAACTGCCGTTCTTTCTTGAGCATTTCACCCTGTTTATCAGCATGTATAACTCCTGGGGAAAAGGCATCCAAATTAAACCTCACATCAAAGTCAGCTTCCTTCAATGACCCTACTGCTGCAGCAGCCTTCTTGATAATGTCCTTAGTGTTTTCCTCTACTTGCTTTTCTGCAGCAATACTTTCAGTCACATTCTCTACAATCTTCTTGGCTTCCTCAGCCTCTATATCTTTGTTATCTTTTCCTTTCTCATTTTCTTCTTTGTCCTCTTTTTCATTTTCTTCCTTTTCCTTTACTGCAGCAAGTTTGCTGGCCTCTTGCTTTTTACAACTAAGTTGCTGAAGGTGCAATGCAGCAAATTTGAGGAACATTACGTAACGATTATCCACAAAGGCATCAATTAATTCCTGCCTCAGAGTAGCTAACTTGTGCTTGTGAGCAATAGGGAAACCCATTTCCAATGAAGCTGCACTTAGCTGAATCTCACTAGAGACCAAGAAATTAACGTCTGGAGGGAATGTGCGTAAAAGGTCAAGAATGTAGTGACGGCCGTCATTGCCAATGATACCCTTGCATTCTACTGATGAGCACAGCTCTATTTCTTCCCCCTTTTCATTCAAAACCTTATGGGGAAGAATTTTCAGTTGTTGACCAGCTTTCTGCAGCAAGTCCATATACTTTGGATGAGTAACAACAGTTTTACCAAAATCTATCGAGCCATAAACAACAGACTGTTCCTGCTCACGCTCAAGAATGCCAGGGATGATGGACTGGGCTGTTACACGATACCCACGATAATCTACAACAACTGTGCCTAAGGTATAAAGCCCTTCTAAATCAGCTGCACTATACACACGTACACCTTGCAAATCATTGCGCGGTGCTACATGCGCTGCTGCATCCCCTCCCACCTCTTTGTAATGATCTCTAACATCGAAACCAAGACTGAAGAAAATATTATTCCATATGAACATCTGCATTTTTGGGTCTTCTCCAGGATTAATAGCCATAACATTGCCATCAATGACAGCCATGGCACCTCTAGTTGCTGCAGCTACAAAATCACTATGTACTTTGAAGATAGCACGTTCCCTCAATAGGCGCTCAGGAAGAGTGCGACGAGGAAGTTCCCTTGTTGTCTGCAGCTCTTCGTTCCAGTCTCGGGTTTGACCCGGGATGTGTTCCTCGTACCCCAACTTACTGCTGAAAGCATCTTCAGCACGAAGGGCATCAATACCATGCTCCAAGGAAGGGGATGCCCATGTATACACTTGATAAGGTGTTGCCACTCTCCCAAGTGGATGCCGGGAAGTGCGCTTCTTTTGCAAGTTGGAAAAATTGCGCTTAAAACCATTCGACAACAAACTAAGAAGATCAATGAGTGAATGGCACAAATAGCACGGATTTGCTGGCTTGGGGTTGAACTCCTCCTCTGTTGTTCTGAAATAAACATGGATGTGTGTTCATGGTTTAATTCAAAAAGAAAACATATTTTGAAGATTAAAAAACTTACTATTGATTATGAATTTCTTTTACAACAAATAACATACTATGAAGAGCACTAATTTTGTTTTCAACAAGTCAGCCGTCTCCCACCGAGGCAGGTGACCAAAAAGAGAAAAACATTTTCACCATCATTCACACAATCATTGTCTTTGCAGAGGCACTCAGATACAACAGTTTAGATGTCACTCCAAACCCTTCCTTTAAGTGTACTACTCTCCTCCAAAACTCAAATCTGGCTAACTGGTTTTCCTGAATCCCTTCATAAATTATTACCCTGCTCACACTCCAACAGCTCATCAGGTCCCAAAAAACCATTCGTCTCCATTCACTCCTATCTAACACACTCACACGTGCCTACGGCATGCCCAAGCCCCCTGCACACAAAACCTCTTTACCCCTTCCTTCCATCCTTTCCAAGGGCGACCACTACCCCTCCTTCCCTCCACTACAAATTTAAATACCCTCCAAGTCATCCTATTTTGCTCCATCCTCACTAAACCAAACCTTGACAACCCCTCTTCAGTCCTCTGAATAATACTGCACACTTCCTCCTAATTTCCACACTACAAATTACCTGCATAATATTTACACCACACATTGCCCTTAGACATGACATCTCCACTGCCTCCAGCCTCCTCCTTGCTGAAGCATTTACAACCCTTGCTTCACACCTACATGAGTGTTCTATTTGTAATGCTCAAATTTGATGTTTGTATGCCCTTAATGTCCTTATATATAAGCAAATAATAATTATTGCAATTGTAGTCTTAAGTTAGGCTTAAGCTTGCCCAAACATGGGCTTTCTGCTTGCACAACCACGTCACCCATCTCTGTACAAATACTGTACATGGAAATAAATCTTTGACTTTTGATTTTTTTTCCTTTTTCTATATATTCTTTATCTTAACATGAGGTGAGGGATTGCCAAAACTGTTGTCCAGAGGGCTGAGGAAGGGCTGAGGTGGTTTGGACAGGTAGAGAGAATGGAACAAAACAGAATGACTTCGAGTGTATAAATCTGTAGTGGAGGGAAGGCAAAGTAGGGGTCGGCATAGAAAAGGTTGGAAGGAGTAAACGAGGTTTTGTGTGTGAGAGGTTTGGACTTCCAGCAAGCGTGCAAGAGTGTATTTGATAGGAGTGAATGGAGACAAATGGATACCCGACGTGCTGTTGGAGTGTGAGCAAAGTAACATTTATGAAGGGATTCAGGGAAATCAGCAGGCCGGACTTGAGTCCTGGAGATGGGAAGCACAGTGTCTACACTCTGAAGGAGGAGTGTTAATGTTACAGTTTTAAAAACTGTAAAGTGCCCCTCTGGCAAGACAGTGATGGAGTGAATGACGACGAGAGTTTTTCTTTTTCGGGCCACCCTGCCTTGGTGGGAATCGGCTGTGTCAAAAAAATTATATAAAATATGTATATATATTTTTTTCAAGGTTGGTAGACAGCAACCGCCCAGGGAGGTACTACCGTCCTGCCAAGTGATTGTAAAACGAAAGCCTGTGATTGTTTTACATGATGGGAGGATTGCTCGTGTCTTTTTTCTTTCTCATAACATGCAAGATTTCAGGTACGTCTTGCTACTTCTACTTACACTTAGGTCACACTACACATACATGTACAATTATTATTATTATAATCAAAAAGAAGCGCTAAGCCACAAGGACTATACAGCACTGCAGGGCAGGAAGGAAGCGAGGGCATCAGGTGGCAAAAGGGAGATGGATGAGTAATAGGTTACGGATAACAGCGGGGCAGTGGATGGTGAAAGGGTAAAGGGCAGCAAGAGACTGAACTAGAAAGGGCTGAGGGGAGTGCGAAAAGTATCATCAGAGTTTGTGGAGTAAATCAGTCGTTGTCAAGAAGTCAATGAGAGAGTCAGGATTAAAGGAGGGTCCATCAGCAAGAAGGGAAGGTAAAGAGAGAGTAGTAGAACGAAGACGACGTTGGAGGTAAATTCTGCGTGCTCGTTGATAGAGAGGGCAGTCTAACAGAATGTGGCTAATCGATACTGGAACATGACACTGCTCACAGAGTGGAACAGGGTGCCTCTCCATGAGATACCCATGAGTAAGACGAGTGTGACCAATGCGAAGGCGGGAGAGAGTGGTCTCCCAACCTCGGCACTGATGACAAGAAGACGGCCAGTAACCTATGCTCGGTTTAATAGAATGAAGTTTGTTACCGAGCAGAGTTGACCAACGTTGTTGCCAACGGGTGCGAAGGTGGGTAGCTATTGCAGCAAAATAGTCCAGAAATGGAACACCTCTATAGGAAATTGGTAGGTCATGTACTGCTGACCGCGCAGCAGTGTCTGCCTGTTCATTGCCCTGTACGTCGACATGACCAGGGACCCAACAAAAAACAATATCTTTATGTTTGGTAGAGATACGGCGTAGCCAAAGTTGGATACGGAGAACTAGGGGATGAGATGTATCAAATTTTCGTATAGCCTGTAGAGCACTAAGGGAGTCTGAGACTACTACAAATGATGACACAGGCATAGATGCGATACGAATAAGTGCTGCAAGAATGGCATACAGTTCAGCAGTAAAAATGCTAGTTGAAGATAGTAAATGTCCCCGCACGACGCTGTCCGGAAACACTGCTGCGAATCCGACGCCGTTTGAAGACTTAGAGCCATCTGTGTACACAGCGGTGGCATGAGAATGGGAGTGAAAGTGATCAAGAAAAAGAGAGCGGGAAGCCACCGTAGGCAGTTGAGCTTTCGAGCAAGGGGTGAGAAAGAGCAACCCGAACAGCTGGGAAATTCCCAGGGGGGTAGGGAAAAGTGAGATGCTACATGAACATATAAAGGTGGGAAAATGAAAGACAAGAGTGAATGTAGGCGAAGAGAAAAAGGGACGGAGCAAACAGGGGCGGCGAACGAATAAAGAAAATTTTACTAATATCGGTGACCATTCTATAAATGGAAGGATTGTGTAGATCGTGAGAGCGTACATAGTAGCGAAGGCAATGGGCATCACGTCGATCAGACAAGGATGGAACATTCGCTTCTGCATAGAGGCTCTCAACAGGGGAAGAGGGGAAAAGCACCCAAAGGGACAAACGTAATCCTTGGTGATGGATAGAGTTAAGGCTAGAGAGAGTAGCAGGAGAGGCCGAGGAATAAATCTGGTCACCATAATCGAGTTTCGATAAAACGAGGGCTAAATGTAGGCGAAGCAGAGTTCGACGATCAGCTCCCCAGGAAAGATGAACAAGGGTTTTAAGAAGGTTTAGCCGGCTGTGACAAGTTGCCTTCAGAGAGGTTATGTGAGGTTTCCAGGATAACCGACGGTCAAAGAGAAGGCCTAGAAACCTGACTGTATCACGTTCGGGGATACGGGAGCCATAGAGATACAAAGGATGATCGGAGATAACAGAGAGTCTAGTGAAAGTAATTTGGTGAGTTTTGGTACTTGAAAATTTAAACCCATGCGTGGTGGCCCAAGTGGAAACACGGTCGACCGCATGCTGAAGAGAAACTGGAATAAGATGACAGTCAGCGCCTGCACAAGCAATAGCGAAGTCATCAACATAGAGTGATGACCAAATATTGGTGGAAGAACAGAGGCCAAATCATTTATAGCAAGGAGAAAAAGTGTTGTGCTTAGAACACATCCCTGAGGGACAACCTTCAGCTTGGACGAAGTCCGGGGAAAGAACATTATTGACTCGAACACGGAAATGTCTGTCAGTTAAAAAGTTCTTAAGGATGGTAGATTGCCTCGGAGGCCTAAGGAATGGGCCTGGGCCAAAATATTATACCTCCAAGTTGTGTCATATGCCTTCTCAAGGTCAAAAAATATGGCAATAACTGAGTGATTATTCGCAAAGGCATTACGAACATACGTATCCAAGCGTAGTAAGGGGGTCTATGGTAGAACGACCCTTACGAAAGCCATATTGACTAGCGGAGAGACTGTTGTGTGTCTCTAAATACCACATTAAACATCGATTTACGAGACGTTCCATCACTTTGCAAACTGCACTAGTAAGAGCGATGGGGCGATAGTGGGAGGCATCATGTCCTGTAGTACCCGGTTTGCGGAAAGGGAGAACAATGGCAGATTTCCACAGCTGGGGAAGAACTCCTTGTGCCCAAATAAGATTGAAGAGGTGTAAGAGGACTACAAGGGCTGACCGATGTAAATGTTGTAACATACGAATATGAATGTCGTCAGGCCCAGCTGCCGATGATCGGCAAGCTGAGAGCGTTGCCTCCAGTTCTTGAAGTGTAAAAGGCACATTATACTGTTCTTCTCTGAGAGTAGAAAAGTCCTAGGGTACTAACTCTCTGGCAGACTTTGAGGAAAGAAACGAGGGGCATAGATGGAGCCCTCGGAAATACGGACCAGATGTGTGCCAAGTTCCCTGGCAACGTCGAGAGGGTTTGCTACATCAACACCAGCGACCCTAGAACAGAGCCGGGTCAGGAATATTTACCACTCATTTTCCCCATTTTTT